GATTTTGACACTGGGGCTCTAGGGTTTTTATGATATTACTTATTATGATATTTTGTGGATTTTGTAATAATTGTAGGTTCAAGATAAAGATTATGTTTTAAAAAAGTATATTTATATACAGATTAAATTGTAGTTTGTTTGTAATAACCCATATAAAACATTAAAAGGTAATGAAAAAAAATATCAATCTGTGTAGGGTAAGGTATTTATGTTTAATAGTTGTAATATATTTCAGATATATCGGAATGGATCTGTCAGGGATGGGATCTATGGTGATAACTGTGGTACATGTTTTATGAAATAAATGAAAGAAATTTTGGAATAATAGTGTTTTGTTAGTTGGTGCTAGGGTGTTGTGGCCTAAAATTTGTGTTAGTAGTTAACGCGGGGATGTATGGAGTATATTTTAAACCAATGTCTCTACTATTGGTATTCACAGCCCAATGGGTGATGCTTTGACAGTATTAGACTTAATGCTGGGAGGCTTTAAGTAGTTCACGATTACACTGCTGTGACTGGCCTTTAATGTTGTCTATGGAATAATTTGCTGGTGAATTCTAGTTTGCGAAGTTTAGCAGAGGTGCGGGATCCAAACTTTTTCTACTGGCCTTTTGAGGTGTTCAAGACTGTGTAAGGGAGTGGAAAATCTGCAAAAGTTTCAGTTGTGTGGATATGGAAGCGGTGTGTTGAGGGTCGGGTCAAGAACGTGGGGATGGAGTTTTGTGACAAGGGGATTGGAGGTCTACACAGAGGATGGCTTTGACATAGCGTGGGTCATAGAGTGAATGGATGTACATTATTTGGATTTTTTAAGGACTTTGTAATGCTTTGCAGTGTATCAAAGTAAGATTTTATGTTGATGCTTCAGGTGAAAACCTGCAAGCCCGGACTATGAGTCTAGATGGATCAGGCGCACTTAAGGAGGGCTTGTGTAGATGTGACAGGTATAAAAACTGTAGTGTGAAGTCCCTTCTGGCAATGTGACAGCGGGGTCACAGGGGTCGGATGGACAAGTCTTTTTTTGGGACTGACCTTGGAGGGAATCGGCAGGTGTGTGCAGATGATAAGTTAATAAGAATATAAATAGATAGATAATTATATAAGATATATAAAATATATATATATATATATATATATATATATATATATATATATATATATATATATTATATATATATATATATATATTATATATATGTCGTGCCGAATATGTAAAACTGGTCAATTAGCAAGAACTCATTTAAAATTAAGTCCTTTCTAAAATTTTCTCTTATACGTTTAAAGATATATTTTTTTCATTAATGTTGATGTAAAAATTATAATTTTGCACCAAAAGGAACTTAGAAAACTTACCTAACCTTATTATAACAAGCGCAATTTATTTTAGCCTAACCCAACTAAATATATTTTAGATTTGTTTACAATAATTTAATACTAAACAAACACAGTGAAATATATTTTTTTCGTTAGGTTCAGAATGATTTTGGCGAAATTATTGCATACACAAATTTTCAATTGTCCTATATGGCAAGATGAGCGTTGCTATTTAAGCCAAGATCGCAAGTTCTGCCTATTCGGCACGACATATATATATACATATATATATATATATATATATATATATATATATATATATAATATATATATATATTATTATATATATATATATATATATATATATATATATATATATATGCAATAAGATCACAGTAAACAGAGATTTCAGAATTTGCAAAACAACCACTGTGAAAGAATAGAGAAATTCCAAGCGCTTTCGTGACTACTCACATTATCAAGGAACAATAGAGCTAAATGGTTCAGATATGTTGATGATATTTTGTGTCTTATGCCCAAGAATGTAAATATACACCATTTCCTTGGTAAATTAAATAGCTTAGCCCATTCTATAAACTTTACTGTTGAGTTTGAGGAAAATAACTCATTGCCTTTTCTAGATGTTTTAATTAAATTTAAAATTTAAAATTAATTATTTAAATTTAAAATTTACAGAAAACCTACAAATAACTGTTCCTATGTCCACTATTATTCTTCACATCAAGATAGAGTCAAACTGTCTGTTTTCTCATCAATGTTTTTGAGAACTTTACGAATTTGTAGTCCAGAGTTCATAGATGAAGAAATATCCAAAATTTATGAAATAGCTAATGATCTGAAATACCCAAGAAACGTAATTGATAAATCTTTTAAAATTGCTAGAAATACTTTTTACAACCCAAAAAGGGACAACCAGCCTTATTCAACTAAAAATATGTTGGTTCTCCCTTACCATGAAAACTTGGTTGATATACCTTCTCTTCTTAAGACTTTTAATATCAAAGTTGTGTTTAAAAATCTTGATACAGTAAAAAAACTTTTGATAAAGAATTCCCCCCAAAATGCTGACGGATGTGTCTATAAGATTCTTGTAAAATTTGCGATAAAGTTTATTACGGTCAAACTGGTAAAAATCTCGAACTAAGATTAAAACAACATAAACATAGCATTAGAACTGGACAAGATTCTAATGCTCTATTTATTCATGTGAGAGATTTTTAACCATCCAATTGATTTTCAAAAAGTTGAGAAAGTTGTATTAAGCAAGTCCATGGTCGACAGGAATATAATTGAATCTTGTTTCATAAAAAGCAATTTTGATAATAATATGAATATTTCCTTTGGTTTATATAAATTAGATCCATTTATAATTAATAGAATTTGGGAAGAATTTAATAATACATTGGACAAATAATAAATTTTAAAATTCTTAATTCTTGGGTAGAATAGTTTGTTTGTGGGATGTGTGAAGGACCTGCCTAGTTGGACCAGCGGGCCTACTGCAGTGTTCCCTTCCTTATGAGTCACGCATTAGGTGTTGCTTTGTTGTGGGATGCGATAGTGAGGTGTGAGCTAGACCCTTTATATGCCTTCCTTTGATGCGTTACTTTTATTGTTCCTTGATAATGTGAGTAGTCACGAAAGCGCTTGGAATTTCTCTATTCTTTTACAGTGGTTGTTTTGCATATATATGTATATATATATATATATATATATTATATATATATATATATATATATATATATATATATATATATATATATATATATATATATATATATTATATGTCGTGCCGAATATGTAAAACTGGTCAATTAACAAGAACTCATTTAAAATTAAGTCCTTTCTAAAATTTTCTCTTATGCGTTTAAAGATATATTTTTTCATTAATGTTAATGTAAAACTTTTTAATTTTGCTCCAAAAGAATCTTAGAAAACTTACCTAACCTTATTATAACAAGAACAATTTATTTTAGCCTAACCCAACTAAATATATTTTAAATACGTTTACAATAATTTAGTACTAAACAAACACAATCAAATATATTTTTTTCGTTAGGTTCAGAATGATTTTGGTGAAATTATTGCATACACAAATTTTCACTTGTCCTATATGGCAAGATGAGCGTTGCTATTTAAGCCAAGATCGCAAGTTCTGCCTATTCGGCACGACATATATATATATATATATATATATATAATATATATTATATAATATATATATATATATATAATATATATATATATAATATATATATATATATATATATATATATACAGAGAGAGAGAGAGAGCTGCCTCTAGGAGGATGCTCTAAGAGTATCCTAACTGATAGGTTTGGTTCGGTTGCACTTATTTGTAATACACGCCTGTCAGTGATTTCATACAACATTCACCTTAACTTGGCCTTAGGTTTCGCTAACAATCCAGAAATCTTTAATCCCTATGATAGGAATTAAGCTCTGAGTGTATAATGAGATGAAGCTCTCTCTAACCTAGGACTGGAGTTATCCTTCCTTCCCTTGACTCGAATTTGAATACCTCCCATTTTCAAAGAGTTATAGATTAGATTTTTAGATTTTTGCCACTGAAGTGGCTAGTTTATTGTGCACCCCATATCCATCCTGTGGACGGTAGCGCGAGACCATATAGATACACAAAAGGCCTAGGAACTAGGCCTCAAAAGGTTTTTTATTTATCTGCATATCTAAAGATCACTTATGTTACATGCCAATTTAGAAAATTTGCTTAGTATATCTGGTATCTTATTTTCATTAATAAGATATCTTGACATGTCACATAGGTTATTATACTGTCTGTCTCTGTATTCCTCAATAAGTGGACAATTAAGCACATAGTGTTCAAGAGAGTGACCATATGCCTGATCACATAATTTACATTTAGTTTGATCATCATCTGTGTGTCTCCCAAACTGCCAGAAGTACTTGTAACCAAGCCTAAGCCTGGCCACTACAACATCAGTCAGTCTGTTCACATTGCAAGTTGCTCCATAAACATACTTATCTACGTTCATGTTATCATAGTGGGTTATAGATCTACTCAGGCTTCTAACTGCATTCCTATAACAATCATCTTCATTATTTACTTCTCTCCTGATATTATTCCTAATGCTAGACACAGTTATACCAAAGTTATATTCTACATTCTCCTTCTGGGTACTCTTCTTGGCTAACATATCAACTTTATCATGAAGGAGTAATCCAATGTGTGATGGGATCTATAGCAATTGTACATTAATTCCTTTGTCCTTCATTTTTTAGTATCTATACCTGGCTTCTCCAATGAGCATGTTGTTGGAGCCATTATATGAGTCAAGAGCCTTCAATGATGACATAGAATCAGTAATGTTGATAGAGTCAAGCTCAGTGTCATAGATTAGCTTTAGCGCCATTAGGATTGCAAACAATTCAGTTTGCAGTGTAGACGCCCGGTTGTTAATCCTTATGCCTAACCCAATAATTTTATTATCGTTCTTAACTAGGGAGGTGGCAACAAGAGCAGATGCAGCCCTGCCAGAAGACTCCTGTTTAGATCCATCAGTGTATAGTTATAGGAGCCTACGGGCATAGCGTTTTTCCCTAATTTAAAAATGCACCTCTATATTTATATACTGTGGAAAGCTGTGATGCTTTTTGTCTCCACAGATCCTCCTGAGTACTTGTGGGTGGGCGGCTCTCAGAACGACGACGGCAGTTGGGTATGGTCTTCAGGTTATCAGGTGAGTACCTCCACTCTCATGCCAACACCCACGCTCTCCCTTACCCACACACACCCTCACCCTCACCCATGCTTACATTGTCTTACACTGATCATTGTATCCAGAAGCGCAAGTTAGCTGTTTATTTTTTACTCACCCCTACCATGAGGACCAACGTCATTTCTTACATCAATCAACTCGTACCTCAGTTCAAACACATCTATCCAGACCCTTTGATGACGGTGAAAGGGCCTTGATCCAAAGAAGTGGACCTCCCTTCCTTGGATCGAACTTGGCTGCCTGCCATTTCCCGTGCGCTGTATGATTCCTACGGATTTAGTGCTTTCCGATCCCCGCATTCTAAGTAAATTTCACTTAAATAACTTTAAAACTAACCGCATAAATATTGTACTAAATGGTCCGGTGTCCGGTGTCCGGTGTCCAGTGTCCGGTGTCCAGTGTCCGGTGTCCAGTGTCCGGTGTCCAGTGTCCGGTGTCCGGTGTCCGGTGTCCAGTGTCCGGTGTCCAGTGTCCAGTGTCCGGTGTCCGGTGTCCAGTGTCCGGTGTCCGGTGTCCGGTGTCCAGTGTCTGGTGTCCAGTGTCCAGTGTCCGGTGTCCGGTGTCCGGTGTCCGGTGTACAGTGTCCGGTGTCCAGTGTCCGGTGTCCGGTGTCCAGTGTCCGGTGTCCAGTGTCCAGTGTCCGGTATCCGGTGTCCAGTGTCCGGTGTCCGGTGTCCGGTGTCCAGTGTCTGGTGTCCAGTGTCCGGTGTCCGGTGTCTGGTGTCCAGTGCCCGGTGTCTGGTGTCCGGTGTCCAGTGTCTGGTGTCCGGTGTCCGGTGTCCAGTGTCCGGTGTCCAGTGTCCGGTCTCTGGTGTCTGGTGTCCAGTGTCCGGTGTCCGGTGTCTGGTGTCCAGTGCCCGGTGTCTGGTGTCCGGTGTCCAGTGTCTGGTGTCCGGTGTCTGGTGTCCAGTGTCCGGTGTCTGGTGTCCGGTGTCCGGTGTCCGGTGTCTGGTGTCCAGTGCCCGGTGTCTGGTGTCCAGTGTCCGGAGTCTGGTGTCTAGTGTCTGGTGTCCGGTGTCCGGTGTCTAGTGTCCGGTGTCCGGTGTCTAGTGTCTGGTGTCCGGTGTCTAGTGTCCGGTGTCTGGTGTCTAGTGTCTGGTGTCCGGTGTCCGGTGTCTAGTGTCCGGTGTCCAGTGTCTAGTGTCCAGTGTCCGGTGTCTAGTGTCTGGTGTCCGGTGTCTGGTGTCCGGTGTCCGGTGTCTAGTGTCCGGTGTCCGGTGTCTAGTGTCTGGTGTCCGGTGTCTAGTGTCCGGTGTCTGGTGTCTAGTGTCTGGTGTCCGGTGTCCGGTGTCTAGTGTCCGGTGTCCAGTGTCTAGTGTCCAGTGTCCGGTGTCTAGTGTCTGGTGTCCGGTGTCTGGTGTCCGGTGTCCGGTGTCCAGTGTCCAGTGTCCGGTGTCCGGTGTCCAGTGTCCGGTGTCCGGTGTCCGGTGTCCAGTGTCTGGTGTCCAGTGTCCAGTGTCCGGTGTCCGGTGTCCGGTGTCCGGTGTACAGTGTCCGGTGTCCAGTGTCCGGTGTCCGGTGTCCAGTGTCCGGTGTCCAGTGTCCAGTGTCCGGTATCCGGTGTCCAGGGGTCCGGTGTCCGGTGTCCGGTGTCCAGTGTCTGGTGTCCAGTGTCCGGTGTCGGGGTCTGGTGTCCAGTGCCCGGTGTCTGGTGTCCGGTGTCCAGTGTCTGGTGTCCGGTGTCCGGTGTCCAGTGTCCGGTGTCCAGTGTCCGGTCTCTGGTGTCTGGTGTCCAGTGTCCGGTGTCCGGTGTCTGGTGTCCAGTGCCCGGTGTCTGGTGTCCGGTGTCCAGTGTCTGGTGTCCGGTGTCTGGTGTCCAGTGTCCGGTGTCTGGTGTCCGGTGTCCGGTGTCTAGTGTCCGGTGTCCGGTGTCCAGTGTCCGGTGTCCAGTGTCCGGTGTCCGGTGTCTAGTGTCTGGTGTCCGGTGTCCGGTGTCTAGTGTCCGGTGTCCGGTGTCTAGTGTCTGGTGTCCGGTGTCTAGTGTCCGGTGTCTGGTGTCTAGTGTCTGGTGTCCGGTGTCCGGTGTCTAGTGTCCGGTGTCCAGTGTCTAGTGTCCAGTGTCCGGTGTCTAGTGTCTGGTGTCCGGTGTCTGGTGTCCGGTGTCCGGTGTCCGGTGTCTAGTGTCCGGTGTCCGGTGTCTAGTGTCCGGTGTCCGGTGTCTAGTGTCCGGTGTCCGGTGTCTAGTGTCTAGTGTCCGGTGTCCGGTGTCTAGTGTCCGGTGTCCGGTGTCTAGTGTCCGGTGTCCGGTGTCCGGTGTCTAGTGTCCGGTGTCTAGTGTCCGGTGTCCGGTGTCTAGTGTCCGGTGTCCGGTGTCCGGTGTCTAGTGTCCGGTGTCCGGTGTCCGGTGTCCGGTGTCCGGTGTCTAGTGTCCGGTGTCCGGTGTCCAGTGTCTAGTGTCCGGTGTCCGGTGTCCGGTGTCCGGTGTCTAGTGTCCTGTGTCCGGTGTCCGGTGTCTAGTGTCCGGTGTCCGGTGTCCGATGTCCGGTGTCTAGTGTCCGGTGTCCGGTGTCTAGTGTCCGGTGTCCGGTGTCCGGTGTCTAGTGTCCGGTGTCCGGTGTCCGGTGTCTAGTGTCCGGTGTCCGGTGTCTAGTGTCCGGTGTCCGGTGTCCGGTGTCCGGTGTCTAGTGTCCGGTGTCCGGTGTCCGGTGTCTAGTGTCCGGTGTCCGGTGTCCCTCCTTGTGGTCTGACACCCCAACACGACGAGTGAGTCACGATATAGATCTAATTATCACCGACTCTCGTGGGTTTTATTTTTTAAATTATTTAAAGAAAGTCCGTGGGTACCTATCTTGTACTTGTATATATACACCACGAATATCTTGTACTTGTATATATACACCACGAATATCTTGTACTTGTATATATACACACGAATATCTTTTTACTTGTATATATACACCACGAATATCTTATACTTGTATATATACACCACGAATATCTTGTACTTGTATATATACACCACGAATATCTTGTACTTGTATATATACACCACGAATATCTTGTACTTGTATATATACACCACGAATATCTTGTACTTGTATATATACACCACGAATATCTTGTACTTGTATATATACACCACGAATATCTGCCAAACACTCGAATAGTTCTTAAAATGTCAACAAGAGTAAGTGTACGAGGAGCGTCTAGGCTGCCTCTCACCTGTACACAAGTCAGTGGTGATATAATGAAAGGGAATATCGACAGTGTGTAAATAAAATATAATTTGCCTTATGGCATTCTATTGTGAAGACGTTTCGTCCATTTCAGAAGATAACTTGATGAAGACCATGGTGGGCGAAAAGTCTTCTCAGTGATATGTAATATTGTGAGTCTTATTTACATTTACACCACCAGTCAGGAATACTTTAATGTCGATGATAGAGACTCAGGTATATACACTGTGTATATACACTGGTATATACACTGGTATATACACTGGTATATACACTGGTATATACATCTTACGAGGAGTTGAATTTTGAAAACAACACATGCAACATTGAAGCTTGCAGCTACCCTACATTTCTCTCCTCGACTCAACTCACAACAGTATCATGTGGCAGTGCAAATGTTAAATGTTAAACTTAACATATTAGATAAATATAGATGTAAGCTGGGCTATCATTACAAAGAGCAAAATTTGCATATGTGTAAAAAAGATTAGCATTTTAAAATAATTTGACTTAAGCATGATTAGGCAGAAATTTGGGGCTCCAACTTTTTGTATATATTTTGATGAGTGTTTCTCTTGATGTGTATACACTGAGAGCAACTGTGTATATACACATGGAGAAGTATGTATCTCAGTTCATATACACTTAGTTTACTTTAACCCCAATCAGCCCATATGTGGAATAAATTATTTTCGATTGGTGGTGAACAGGTCGATTGACTTTAAACCCAGTTAGCCAACCAGTCTTGGCTCCAAGTGGGACAATAAGCACCTGAGACCAATGGAAGATGAATACTTACTTTTAGTTGATCTTGTATTCTGACAACCCAGGATAGCCCAAGAAAGCACAGTATGGCACATTTCTGCTAGTTCTTCTGGGTATGCCACCCACTACAACTAACGCTTAGGTATCTACTTCCTGCCAGGTGAACAGGGGCAGTAGGTGTAAAGAGTCTGGCCCATACGTCTCACCTAAGTATATTGCTATGCTAGTTCTCAGCGTGCACAAGAAATAAGACAAAATTGAAGTGGAGCATACGAGCATATGACTGAAGTAGCTGCCACTGCCTAGTAACTCGGTGTTTGCTTGTCAAGGTCGAATGTGTGAGTGATATTATCCTTTCTCGAGGAATTACGAGTGGACGTAAATATATTTGTCTTGAATCATGAAAGTTTTCCCGTGGTTCAAATGAAAATAAATAAGGTGAAATGTTGATTATGCAATACGTAAATATGTCTCTACTGTACGGCAAGTGATACACCAAATGTATGTATGTGTCTGCTGTATGATGCAATGTACGCTACATGTATCTGCTGAATGATGCATGATGCACTACATGCATGTGTCTGCTGTATGTTAAACTACACTTATGTATCGCTGCTTTTTGATACATAATACATTACGTAGATTGCCGTATTATACACTACATGCATGTATTTACTGCTTGTATGATACACCACACGTGTGTATCACTTATGTATGTTACACTATATACATTTATCACTGCTGTATGATGTATAATGCACGGTATGTATGTTTTACAGTTGTATAATGTATGATACAACATGCATGTTCCGCCACTGTCTGATGTACTATACACAGGTAGAAAACTGTAAGATTTATGACACAGTACATGTATCACTACTCCATAATGTATGATATATGATGCACTCCATGTATCACTACTCTATAATGTATGATACACTGCATGTGTCACTACTGTTTAATGTATGATACACTGCATGTGTCACTACTGTTTAATGTATGATACACCGCTTGCATGTA